TTAACGGGACACGAGCTTACAAGCTACGGCTGCCCTTTGAGGACACCATTGTCCACTGGATGGTGAGGGCTTCACACAGAACCTGTATCACCGGTTTGGGCAGTGGTGGTCACTGTTGAGTCTATCGCTGTCATCCTTGGTATGATGTGGTCAAGGCAAATGACCACCCACCTAGAGGCCGAAGGGCTGTCCGAGGTTTCTGCCTTGTTAAAAGGCAGTTTTTCCTTGCCCCTGTCTCCAAGTGCTTGCTCAATGGTGGTACTGTTGGGGTTCTCTGTAAATGTTAAAAGGAGTTCGTCTAACCTGGCTTATTTGAAAAGTGCCTGAGATTAATTCTGTTTATTGATTGGACTAACAATAAAATTGAATTGAATGTGATGTCACATTTGCTACCACAGTCCGCCAATGTGTTTTCTAAATGTGACATAGCAAACATCCATCTCACAGAAAGTAAAGCTTTAAGATATCATTATTCTGTAACACCCTTTCTGAGACTGTGTTCTTTCCAACAGTACCTGGGTTAAGGTATAGTGCAATACTCCATAGAAATAAACTTCACTTTAACCATCATGCCCCAGAGAGACTCGTATTATCACCACACATTCATCACAGCACGAGAATTCAATTCATGTAAGTACATTTTCTGACCTCACCGGTCTGCAATAAAGTGGTTTCAATTCATCAGTACAGCCTTGTTTTAAAATCCAGACTTTCTCCTTTAAGTCCCTACAGAGATCACGGCTCAGTGCTCAGACAGAGGAATCACCTTCAGTATGGTCAGACCAACCCAAGCTCAGAGTCTCTGGGAGGTGGCCATCGACCATGAGCCTCTGACATCACAGCTGGCAGCCCAAAGAGGGTACCGCCTCGACAACGACACCCAAAGAACAATTCTGGAGGTCCCTGTGTTCTCCATTGGATACATTTATGAAGTAAGTGCTGAATTTGTACAGAAAACTGTACCTGACTTTGTTACAGTTCTCCCAGTTCACAGCTGAGTTAATGAAACTAAGTTCACAGTCAGCTCAGAGAGACATTAGGGACTACTTGGTGCAACAACAAAACCAGGGAGTCCATCTTTGTTGTAATCTGGTTGATTTCATGAATCTGAATTAGAGCATTCTTCTACTGTACATCAATTAAACTGAATATAAAGATAACGCTTGAGTTATACTGTCATATGGGAAAAAATTGCAGATGTTTGATTTTTAAAGCTCTTCTCTGGTGATACAGATGTGCTGATATCATCGTACATCAGCTCCTTTCTCATTTCAGTATATTTGACATTTTATAAACTAAACATTAATCAGGATACAAACAAATCAGCCCTACAGTAAATACACCATTAGAATGGAAAACAATCTAATTTGAGTTATCCTTTACCTCCAGGACATCAAGCTGTCAAACTTTTATGGGACATTTAAACTTCTTCTGAGACTCCAAAACTCTGGAAGTCCAGACGTCCACCTCCAAACGCTGCCTCTTCAAAACACAGGACATGATAGGTACCCTGCACTCCTCTAGAGCCCTTACGTTGACCCTAATTGGTTGCCTCCCTGAGTCGGGTATAACCCTAAAATTGCCCCTATGTGGCATCAGTCTGTTCTGCAGATGGAACCATGACGGTGGTGGCAACTCCGACCTCCACCTGGCCTACAGTGCAGCCTGAAAGAACCACTCTGCTGGACCCCACCTGTGGACCCAAACAGACCGACGGATCCAGAGTCCTGTTTGAGTTCAAGCTGGACTCTTGTGGGACCAGAGCCATGGTACAACTCAAAAATACTGAAAACAAAAGTAGTGTGACTGTAAAGATGTAGTACAGTTTTATAACTGAGGATGTTTTAACAGGTTGGGGAGTTGTATGTGGTTTATGAAAACGAGATCCTCCATGACAGACAGATGATTGCAGATGGACCAAACTTCATCTCCAGAGAATCTCAGTTCAAGTAAGGAACCCAGATCTGAATGAACACTTCATAACCTCATAGTTCCTGATTCTGTTCACACTACAGGACTTTCAAAGTCCTCAATCTCGGCACTGGTCATACAACTTCCAGTCTTTTAACCTGGAGTCTGATCAGAGGTCACAAACTGCAAGATTTTTTTTACATGGAGTATCCATAAGGATCTATAAAGATACAGTGTATTGTGATCTAATCAAGGTAAACTCAACTGGCTCAGCCTCCGTTGTAGCTGCACTCTTTCAGTTGAAGAAGACTGTGGGAATGAGAGGGGGAATGTTTCAATAATTATAACTTCTCAGTAAAATAAGTGCTGGTTGGATCAGATACTGAACCAACTGAACATCGACTCATGACAGTAATTCACCGTTTATTATGAGTGTGTGACGGTGTTTGAGGAGTTTTTTTGGGCTGTTGGCAGGCTCTCTGTGAGCTCTCTTAGTCTTTGAACAGTTCACACAACACAGCCGTCGTCACGGGAACGAGCACCAATCTGCCTCTGATCTGGAGGCATTTGTTGGCAAGTGTAAAATCAACTAAAATCATGTAGTGTGAACTCAGCATTAAAGGACTCGGACTGCAATCAGTACCTAAATATAACTTGATTCAAATTTTAAAAAAGTATTCATGACAAAATGTGTCTGATTCATGAACAGGTTGACAGTGAGGTGCTTCTATCCACTTACTGGAGTCATTAGACTGTCTGTGGACAGGATCTTCACATCGGGCAATCCTGGATTTGGTTCAGTCAAAGTCTTCAAGAGCGTCAAAGGTCCCAGTCGGAATAAACAATCCACATTCAGTTTGGTCTGAATGACAAACTTTTTTTTTTTTTTTTTTTAATTTTCCAGCAGATTTGGCAAATGCTGCCCAAGAATGTTCACACCAGAATTCTGGAAACGCCATCAACCCCCCGACTAAGCAGGTCCACCAAACCCCAGCAGCAGGGGGAGTCCTGTCTCACTCTGGTGTCAGACCTCAGCCCAGACCGGGACCTGGCCATTTCATCTTGGTGCCAGCAGGACACAACAAGCTGCTCTACTTCTCCCAAAACCTACAGACTCTTGCAAACCTCAATGTCTCTCCTCCTACTGAAGGTCCAACCCTTGGTATCCATCAAGTCCCTGTGCCGGTTTCATCTCATCCTAAAAATCTCCTGTCTCAGACGCAGGACCAACATGTATTCGCATCACCTAACTTTCCTCCCAGATCTGACCAATTACCAGAAGACCGGCCGTTAAACCTCAACACATTAAGCTTCAACTTTGAAAATCCCAGACTAACTGACAACCGGGCCTCGGGTTCTTCCAGCAGGACTCTTGATCCTTTAGTTGTTGAAAAGCCGCAAACTGACTCAGGAAGCTCCAGTCAGACTCCAAATCTTCAGGGTCCGAACAGTTTAGGTAATGTTAGACACTCCGCCCTGACATGGAACCAGCCCACTCTTAAGCAAAATAATGCAAATCAAGACCTGCAGACTCTTAGAGTCCACCTTTCTTCTGGCCTGCAAGAATTGACCCAGGAACATGAGGGCAATCTAGATTTGAGCCTTTACGAGTCCACAGGTGGCGGGATGGAAATGATCAAAACCGAAGAGTTACCTGGGTACCAATTTCAAAGTCAGTATGATGCTCCTCGGCTTCACCCAGTCCTGCAACCACTAGCTCAGTACAGCCCAGACCACATCAGCAACAGTGAACTACGCCTGTCTGACAGAGACCAAACATACGTCCCTACTAATGCCAAACCTATCCCATCCAAAAATACTGTGGCTGACCGGTCTGTAGACAAACAGGGGTCTGTCAGAACGGAACCAACATATACTGCAACCAGCCAAAACCTGGGAAAACCACCGGGGTCAATGGAAAGGAGGAATACTGAGACCGTTCAGTCCAGGGTCCAGAACATTCGAGTCAAACCACCGAGCATATTTGTTTCTTCTGGACGTGTTGTCAACCAAAAATCTTTGATCCAACAAGCACAAATCTCTAATCCGTCCCAGTATGCCACTGGTCCAACTGTGAGCACTGATGGGAACTGCTGGACGTCCAAACAGCTTCCTGAACACAGAGGTTCAAACGTAAGACCAGACCATGTTCCTGAAAGACCAGGTTCCTCTACACTAAAGCAGGAACATGGTATTCACATTGACGAAGTAAGATCAGATCAAACCACAGTGATCCGGCTCACTGGTCTGTCCCCAAACCAGGTCCAATCAACAGCTGATACAGAAAACGTTGTCCTGAGAACTTCTGTTATGAATTGGCGCTATACAAATAAAATTGAATTGTTAACTCGACTTAAGAAGTTTTGATATCCAACAGCTACAGAGGCTGAATGAGGGTTCGGCAGCCTGGAGACCCTCTCCAGTGGCTCCCTGTGGCTTTAATAGAGACTGACATTTTCATTTCACTGTTGTACGCTAGAAAGTGATTTTAAAATGTCGATTGCTGGAAAGTCTGGAACTATTTTTTTCCATAAGGTTGGGAACCACTGCTCTGAATAATGAGTTCAGATTGGCTGGCTGTCAGGCAGCTGTGTCGATCTCCCAACATCATCATGATAGGGTTTCACTGAATGTTCAATAATACAGAACAGTTATCTCTTTGTTGTGTTAGTTTGTATCAGACAGGTGGAGGTGAGGGTGTAAACATGTTTTTGTCCTCTCAGGTAAACCGATCAGCTGATGAAGAAATTCTACAGTCTGCAAAGTCTGATTCAATAAAGTTTGTTCACATTCAGGTGTCTATGGTCTCTAACTGCTCAGAAACACAACAAGCAGGTTACAACTATCAGGTGCTGATTCCCTGCTGTGTTTTATGTGTACCATGTTAGCCTGTGTTTTACTACTACTACTACTGATACTACTGATGATACTACTACTGTTCAATTTATAGAAAATAACCACAATTTTAAACTCAGTTGGGGAGAAAAGATGTTTTATAATTGTTACTTTGACAAAAACATGAATCTCAAAATGAGAATCAGATTTCTGCCATATTGACTCAGATTGTATGAGTGAGCGTTAGTTCTCACCGTCAGCAGACACAAACTGTCCCACAGCAGAAGAAACTCCTCCGCTACCCTCCACAAACTGAACCTCAGAGACGATGATGTTGTCCTCGAGAACAGAACCACAGCTGGTACACACTGCACTGCCTCGGGCCTGATCCACGTCTATATCCGACCCCCCACAGGTCCTGCACACCCTGGAGCTCATGGTGTAGGTCAGAGGTCAACACAGTCTGCAGGTCAGAGGAGGAGGTTTAACTCCATTTTAAAGATAAATCAGTTTACATGTTGAGTAAAAACATTTTTAGATCATTTTAACACATTTACAATATGATTCACAATTAATGAAAATGACCATTTGACTTCTAACCTACAAAGATTCACAGAAATAATCAGGAACATCCAGCTGTGATTAAACTACTGCTTCTGGTTACAAACAGAAATAAAACAATTATTGTATAAAGATCCGAAATCAGCACTGATTGTTTTTCTGATTATGAGTTATGGCTTTAAACAGTCCACAATAACTAATAATTAACTAATAATATTGATCAAATACTATACTGGATCTGAACTCACCAACTGCAGAAGACAACAGAGTCCAGTAG